TGGACATCCTTGTCTTGTTCCTGATCTTAGAGGAAATGCTTTCATATTTTCACCATTGAGAATGATGTTTGCTGTGGGTTTGTCATATATGTCCTTTAGTATGTTGAGGAAGATTCCCTCTATGTCCACTTTCTGGAGAGTTTTTATCATAAATAGGTGCTGAATTTTGTCAAAAGCTTTTTCTACATCTATTGAGATGAGCATATGGTTTTTCTTCTTCAATTTGTTAATATGGTGTATCAGATTGATTGACTTGCATATACTGAGGAATCCTTGCATCCCTTGGATAAATCCCACTTGATCATGGTGTATGATCCTTTTAATGTGTTTTTGGATTCTGTTTGCTAGTATTTTGTTGAGGAATTTTGCATCTATATTCATGAGTGATATTGGTCTATAATTTTTTTTTTTGGTAGTATCTCTGTCTGGTTTTGGTATCAGGGTGATGGTGGCCTCATAGAATGAGTTTGGGAGTTTTCCTTCCTCTGTAATTCTTTGGAAGAGTTTGAGCAGCATGGGTCTTAGCTCTTCTCTAAATGTTTGATAGAATTCACCTGTGAAGCCATCTGATCCTCGACTTTTGTTTGTTGGAAGATTTTTAATCACAGTTTTAACTTCATTACTTGTGATTGGTCTGTACATGTTTTCTATTTCTTCCTGGCTAGGTCATGGAATGTTATACCTTTCTAAGAATTTGTCCATTTCTTCCAGGTTGTCCATTTTATTGGCATAGAGTTGCTTGTAGTAGTCTCTTAGGGTGCTTTGTATTTCTGCGGTTGTAACTTCTCCTTTTTCGTTTCTAATTTTATTGAGTTGATTCCTCTCCCTCTTTTTTTTGATGAGTCTGGCTAATGGTTTATCAATTTTGTCTATCTTCTCAAAGAACCAGCTTCTAGTTTTATTGATCTTTGCTATTATTGCCTTTGTTTCTATTTCAGTTATTTCTGCTCTGATCTTTATGATTTCTTTCCTTCTACTAACTTTGGGTTTTGTTTGTTCTTCTTTCTCTAGTTCCTTTAGGTGTAAGGTTAGATTGTTTATTTGAGATGTTTGTTGTTTCTTGAGGTAGGTTTGTATTGCTATAAACTTCCCTCTTAGAACTGCTTTTGCTGCATCCCATAGGTTTTGGATCATCGTTTTTCATTGTCATTTGTCTCTAGGTATTTTTTGAATTCCTGTTTGATTTCTTCAGTGAACTCTTGGTTATTTAGTAATGTATTGTTTAGCCTCCATGTCTTTGTGTTTTTTACGTTTTCTTCCCCTGTAATTGATTTCTACTCTCATAGCCTTGTGGTCAGAAAAGATGCTTGATATGATTTCAATTTTCTTAAATTTACTGAGACTTGTTGTGTGACCCAAGATGTGATCTATCCTGGAGAATGTTCTGTGAGCACTTGAGAAGAAAGTGTATTCTGCTGTTTTCAGATGGAATGTTCTATAAATATCAATTAAATCTATCTTGTCTATTATATTATTTAAAGCTTGTGTTTCCTTATTAATTTTCTGTTTGGATGATCTGTGCATTGGTTTAAGTGAGGTATTAAAGTTCCCCACTATTATTGTGTTACTGTCAATTTCCTCTTTTATAGCTGTTAGCAGTTGCTTTATGTATTGAGGTGCTCCTATGTTGGGTGCATATATATTTATAATTGTTATTTCTTCTTCCTGGATTGATCCCTTGATCATTATGTAGTCTCCTTCCTTGTCTCTTGTAACATTCTTTATTTTAAAGTCTATTTTATGTGATATGAGTATTGCTACACCAGCTTTCTTTTGATTTCCATTTGCATGGAATATCTTTTTCCATCTACTCACTTTCAGTCTGTATGTGTCTCTAGGTCTGAAGTAGGTCTCTTGTAGACAGCATATGTATGGGTCTTATTTTTGTATCTCTTCAGCGAGCCTGTGTCTTTTGGGTAGAGCATTTAACCCACTCATGTTTAAGGTGATTATTGATATGTATGTTCCTATTACCATTTTCTTAATTGTTTCTGGTTTGTTTTTGTAGGTCCTTTTCTTCTCTTGTGTTTCCCACTTAGAGAAGTTCCTTTAGCCTTTGTTGTAGAGCTGGTTTGGTGGTGCTGAATTCTCTTAGCTTTTGCTTGTCTGTAAAGCTGTTGATTTCTCCATCGAATCTGAATGAGATCCTTTCCAGGTAGAGGGATCTTGGTTGTAGGTTCTTCCCTTTCATCACTTTAAATATGTCATACCACTCCCTTCTGGCTTGTAGAGCTTCTGCTGAGAAATCAGCTGTTAACCTTATGGAAGTTCCCTTGTATGTTATTTGTCATTTTTCCCTTGCTGCTTTCAATAATTTTTCTTTGTGTTTAATTTTTGCCAATTTTATTACTCTGTGTCTCAGTGTGTTTCTCCTTGGGTTTATCCTGTATGGGACTCTCTGTGCTTCCTGAACTTGGGTGGCTATTTCCCTTTCCATGTTAGGGAAGTTTCTGAGTATAATCTCTTCAAATATTTTCTCTCGTCCTTTCTCTCTCTCTTCTTCTTCGGGGACCCCTATAGTGCAAATGTTGTTGCATTTAATGTTGTCCCAGAGGTCTCTTAGGCTGTCTTCATTTCTTTACATTCTCTTTTTTTAATTCTGTTCCACAGCAGTGAATTCCACCATTCTGTCTTCCAGGTCATCTTCTGCCTCAGTTATTCTGCTATTGATTCCTTCTGGTGTAGTTTTCATTTCTGTTATTGTATTGTTCATCTCTGTTTGTTTGTTCTTTAATTCTTCTAGGTCTTTGTTAAACATTTCTTGCAGTTTCTTGATATTTGCCTCCATTCTTTTTCCAAGGTCCTGGATCATCTTCACTGTCATTATTCTGAATTCTTTTTCTGGGAGGTTGCCTATCTCCACTTCATTTAGTTGTTTTTCTAGGGTTTTATCTTTCTCCTTCATCTGGTACATAGCCCTCTGCCTTTTCATCTTGTCTATCTTTATATGAATGTGACTTTTTTTCCACAGGCTGCAGGATTTTAGTTCTTCTTGCTTCTGCTGTCTCCCCTCTGGTAGAAGAGGTTATATAAGAGGCTTGTCAGCATTACCTTTCTCATGTTTTGTTTTGGGTTGTGTTGGGACTCACAGGACAGCCAAAGAATGTAAGAGAATTGCTCCAGAGCCCAGTGGTGAGACACAACAGTGCTACTCGCACCTTCAAATCTGAGTGTCTGTGTTGAACAACTTCTTTCCTTGTACTGTCACCTCGTAGTGCTATTGGACACTACTTGTGAAATCCGATAGTGTAAGTGACAGGAGATTTTATGCCTGGCTGACTCTTAGGACAAATGAGGAAGAAATAATTCTTAGCATTTCTAGTAGGATTCACTGATGATTTTAGATGTGCTAGAAGATAAGTGAACAGGATAAGGAGCCACCATGGGGAGATGGGATAACTGACTGTGGCTATATAATTTAAATGGGCATGTGGTGATAAGATTTATGTCTAGGCATATATTATCAGGCATAAAGTCATAGGGTTTATTTAATTTTCAATTTATACTACTAATGAAGTTCTCTATGATGCAGGATACTAAAATTGTGTCAAATAAGTACAAATTCTGAACTGCATGAAATAAAATACTATAATTACTGAACAGTAGATATATAATTGTTTATAGTCTTTAAACATCACTTCAATTAAGCATCATATTTGTTATGCTTTCTTTAGAATTTTGGTTAGTAATTTTTTAATCCTCCTTTTAAACTTGCCATTTTTCTGAATTTTTAAAATGTTTCTGAATTTACTACACATTTTTTAAGTGTCCACCACAGTCCAAAAGTTTTGGTATTCATAAAGCTCTGCAGAGTCATAGTCCGGTGACATAAGACTCAGGATCTGAGACTAAACATGGATGGGTGAGATTTTGACTTAGATTTTATTTCATTTTCTAATCTTTAGTTGGAATAGGTGCAATACACAAAAGAGGTAGCAAAAGAAGGATGGAGACCCACACGTAGATAAAAAGGTCAAGATTGGTCTATACAATTGAATATTGGAAGCCTTTGAAGGATCAGATTTTGTTTAACTATTAAAGTGTCATCCCTGGATATTATTCTATTTGATACTAAACTCATGGAAACTTTAAAGACAAATATTCATATCAGCTGATAGTCAGTTTCTCTAGTCAATCCCTTGAAATGTATAAGCATAGTGCTCTAAGATTGGTTGGTTGGTTTGTTTTCTATCTTACTTCTGCTGACTAGATTCCTTCATTGAAGCACTTTTTCCTTAAAAGCCACATAAAGATTCTCAAATAATATTTTCATAAGGACTACATACTGATAATAACACTCACTTTCTAAATCATCTTTCATCTTCATTCTACAAGACAATGACTTTCAGAATAAATAAAAATATAGTCCTAAGTGGCATTATTTACTTGTCCCAGAATCAAAAGTTGAATCGTCCACTATGCAAATTTGGTCATGGCCAATGTTCCTACATGTCAGGGATAACAACGTAAGTTTCTTTGGACAGAACAGCCAGTGGGTTACTATAGTGAGCTTGATCTCTGCAATTTTAGTGTCAGAGATACTTATGATTCTAAGTACCCCATGTGTGGCTATTAAAGGTAAAATAAACAGCAGGGGTATGGTTCCAATTGCTTAGTAAACAATCATAGAAAGATGTTTATTAAAGCTGACTCTCAAGTGACAGATAAATGCACAGTTCTATTATGTATGCTAAATTTAACATGCTGCAAGCTTAAAAGCAGTTAGATCAAAACAATAGAGGTTTTAAAAAATCATAAAGACAAAATACAGCTATGTCAGTATGTGACAGGAAAATAATTTTGCCTTAAAAGTGATCTTCCCCAACCCCCTCAAGGAACATGTAACCACAATTTATGGAACAAAATTAAAGCAAGTTGGGAGCATTCCATTTCTTAGCCTGCTTGGCTCTGAGTTAAAAAAAAAAAAATTAATGAGCTGTTGTTAAACTAAGATACAATTGATCTCTTCTACTATAAACAAAAAACTACATCACATAATTACTGATGTATAATTCTGATTTATTAATGTGTGATGTTTAGTTCTTAAAAAAAGAAAACAAAAACAACAAAACACACACACACACAAAACAAGCCAGTAAACAGACTCTTTCATGCACATCCTTTTTTCTACCTTACAAAGTTCCACAGCATGATTTTTTAGAGGAGTTCCCTTGCTCAGGGTTGGCATATGTTTTTCAATTTTCACTGTCAACAACCATATTTACAGAAAGATGTACAAATATTGTGAATGGTAGGCTGTGCAACCCTCACATAATTAAAACTTCAGTTTCTTGGTTTTCTAGGGCTTTGTTTAAATGCCAATAAATTTGAGAGTTCACCTAACTGTGCATCTTAACCTTTGTTCCCAAAGGTGAAGGGCAGGATTTTTAATCAGGTAGCAATTTACCTTAATTGGGAAAACATAATTAGGTATTATTATCTAATTGCAATTATGGGTTGGAGAAAGTCACATTTCACAAGTAGTGACCCATGACGGATTATCACTCTCCTATTACTGAATTCTGCATCTGTATTTGTGTTTGGCAGACAGCCAATAAAAATTCAAAGGTAATCACAATGCTTCTCTGCAGTCCAGCTGTCAAAGTCACCAATTCCGCTGCTGAATAAGAAACCGAAACATACTTCCTGAGCCACATCTTGGCTATATCTGTTTCCTGCTCAGACATCAAGTGGAGATCAAAATAATTCTATAAAAAAAAACCCCATGTGAAGCAGGTTAGAGAGCTGTTCCACACTTCATTTCTGGTACAGTTAAAAAGTTTAATGTCTCAAGGCACCACTATGGTTGAACATCAGATACATGGGTAACCAGCTAATCTACTAGGCTGTAAAGTCAGTAAGTAGCTTGTGCAACTGTGAAAAAGCAATCTCTAGAGGACTGTTAGATATACTGTAGGCACAGGTATCATAATACAAATAGAAAACAATGAGTCCTAGAAAAAGCATGTTGAGCACCATTGTGGCATCGTTTGTATTTCTTTACCTAACGCTATGTAAACCTTAACATTTACAAAAGGAAAGACTAACTTTTGAAAGTTACACCCAGGGTTGCTCTTTGTGCTATCCCCCAATAATCGGTTTTAGTTCGTCGGTGTACTTTTAGAAGTCGTTGGATCTGGGTCGCCCGCTGTGGCGCTGGTCGATTCATTTAAGTGCGAACTCAAGTTCTCCGACGTTAGGTGGGAAGACTTATAGACGATCTCATTGAAGTCAGACCTGATGCACACCAAGGGGGGGTCATTCAACGGGTCTTCCACTGAGGCCTGGGTGTTTTCTCGCGTGATTCCCATGTCCTTGCTTTGTTCTGATGGGGATTTTCTTTTCATGCGTGTGTAAGTATTGTCTTGATTCTCCATGCCTTGCTCATTTTTCAAAAACCGTCCAAAGAACCAAATGAAGAATCCAAACCACACAAAAGCTATCAGACTTGGCACAAAAGCCAGACACTTGACATCAAGGCTTGCCCCTATGAACCTGCTGTGTAAGAACATGTCTCCCTCAACATAGGTTTTATTAGTCTGAGGGTTGGTATGATTGGACCTCCATTCCCAGGATAGCTTGGTTCTGTTCAAATCCTTTAGACTCTCTAAGTCTTTCACTGTATATATCTTCTGCCCTGGACCAATATACTGTCCATATTCATGAGGCTTATAAAATATCTGATTCTTCCACATATTAAGATCCAAAATCAAGACGAGAAAGATAATCCCATAGTTAAACCATTTACCTGCATTAAAAAAGAAATACTGCATATTAGTCAAAGACCTATAAAACTGCAATAGAGTTTTCTCCTACAAAATGGAGATACTGGTATTATAGCATAAATTGTTAATATTTTAGACCTGCTAAAAATTTTTTGAGAGTGTTATGCTGCCATTAAGTGAATTGGCAATGGGAATTTCTTAAATGGATTCTAGGCATGTGAAGATGTAACTGTAGATCCCAGAGCCAGTAATTTATGGTATCTACACCTTCTAGATTAAGTCTCCTGGTTTTTGAGTTATACTCAAATTTGGTTCCATGTAGGTTATTCTATAGAACAATTTAATTAAGGTTTAAAAACAAAGTTCTGACAAAATTCTTAAGAAAAGTCCAATGTATGATTGACTATCTCTTACAGTTTTATAATTAAGCCAGGGAAAGAAATAAATCATTTTGCAGTGCAAGCACAGCAGTATATCAATTGAATTCACATTGCTCTTTGTAGGTGACCTGTTGATTAAACCATTAGTTGATGTGATTCAGATCAATAATCCTTGAGCATTCATTTCAAGACTTTAAAAATAATTGCATCAAATTCTCATTGAACAGAATCCATTTATCAGACATATAAATATAACCAAAGCTGTGGAAGACATGATTTGGAGAGACTGTAATTATTATGACTTCTTTGTAGTATTTAAAAATCTTACATAAATAAGGTATTATTTAGAGACATACTACCTAGTGAAATCTTTGCATCTTTAAATGGAAAAAATGTTGAAAAAATTTCAAGGGATACTAGATTCCATTATAATTTTTATTATAATTTATTCCAAGTTTTAGTGTATCATAATAATATAGTAATAGCTCATAGTTTTGCAAAATTAGGTGATATATATAACAGGTTCTAAAAGTTTTAGTTATAGTTATATGTGTTATGTCAAAATTATTTTATTTTGTATTTAAAAATAGTGATAGTGAACATTATTAAGTTACTGCTTCAGATGAGAGATAGGATCTTGGGCAAACTTCTTAAACTAAGATTGGTAAAAATGTATTTTTTAATATGTACTCCAATAGAACACATAGCTCTATAAAAATATAACTTTGTAAGGAGTTTAAGCAAGTATTTTATCATCATCATTACACATTTTCAATCTCCTATTATATGCAAGGTTGAAGAACTTTAATCCGGGGCTGGCTCCCAAACCTACTAGCTATGTGACCTTGGGTTAGGTTGTTTAAATTCTCTAAACTCCAATTTCTTTACAAGCAGAAGATAACAGTACTTATTAAGCTGTTAGCATTTCATGAGATTATTAGATACTAAGCACAATGCCTGGTACATAATAGGGACTCAGTAACTGTTACTATTGTTATCATCAAAGCCTTGCCTAAGTCATGATAATGTCTTCATTTGCATGGGAAGGTGCAACTTCTTTTCTATGAAGAGAATTTATATAAATCATATGAAGGGAAATTATAACTCTGCCTGTCCTGAAATCATTCAACTATACAGGGTTTATAATATTTGTAATGGAAGCTCTTGCCTGAATGATTTATTTGGCACACCCAAACTGCAAAGTAAGATAGAACATTGGAGACGTTTCCAGATATGATAAAATGTTTATAAGATCTGGTACTGTTAAGTTCAAACCACTCCTGCCCTCTTGAATCTTCAAAACGAAAACAGAATCAACCATAAAACAAATTAAGAAAGCTCAAGCCAGAGAAATTCAAATACAAAGGTGAGTGTCATTACCAAACATTTATTGTGCTCAGAATAGACTCTGTGGAGGGTACCTTAGTAGATGCTGAAGACATATGCTACTGCCTTCTAGGAAGGAACTCATCATCTTATGGGGGAAATAGGATAGAGACATCAACAGATAAATAATAATAAGAGGCCACATTTAGGAGGTGCCAAAGGAGTGATACAAACCATTAATGCTGCAGATGTTGAGAAAATGGAATAAAAACTGAGGGCTAATTTCTGCAGAAAAGATTTTGAAGGAAATAGCGATTCATGTGGTCCCAGAAAGAAAAGCAAGACAGGGAACAGTTTGGAAAATGTTATGTTTCTCTCTAGTGTATGCTTTTATTTTGCTGCAGATAGAATAACATACAGAAAAAGATCAGGTAATGTGGAAGAGAGGGCCTGAGGGAAGAGAAAAGGGAAAGAATGGAGAATATCATAGGAAAGAAAGGCCAACCAGAATGAGAGACAGGTGATATATAAAAGTTCAGGGATTATCATTCAGTATCTCGGAGGCACTAATTTGTGGCTTCTGTGATAGAAGCAGTTGGGAGAGGGGCTTTGGATGCTTCTTTGTTGTTTGATCTTTGATCTATACTTATTCCCTTGTTGTAAACTACATGGGTTATGAAGCCAGACTGGATGGTGAGGGGAAGAGGTCCTTGGACTTGTGTGGCTGACCATCACCTTCTTGACTCATAAAGGTCCCTTGGAAAAATGTGTACCCTCTCTTGGTCACTTTTATAAACTAATGAACAGAGCAGTCCTTCATAAAGGGTCCTGTTTCCAGGGTAATGACGTCAGAAACTGAACATTAGCAGCATCGTGGAATCGGCGAGGAAAAAGAGGAATGCTCATGGAGCTTGAAGAAGGGTGCTTTCCTGGTGGGGAGAAGATGCTCAGGGAATGTTTAATAGTCAAAGGAAAAAAATAAAATCAGAGAATAAAAGTGGTAGTGAATGTACAGCGATCAAACTGAAGGAACCCTGAGGATAGAAGGGGCTTTTTTTCCATTTTTTCAAATTATTTTCTCTACCCAAGTTGAATGGTGCTGGGTCAGTTTGACCACTAAACTGTCACACTAAAGTATCACGTTATGTTGCTTCTCACATGACCTGGTGTCTGAATATTTAGATAGGATGAAGGAGACACACATTAAGAATGTGTTGCCTGACAGGGATACCATCACCCTGCTCTAACACATCTTTACTGATTTGTGAGAGAGAGTACCATAGTGACAAAAACTGCAGGCTGGACACCAGCAGATGGAGATTTAATACTCATCTTAAATGATACAACCTTGGGTAACTTGTTTAACCTCTCCAGATCTCAGCAATTTTATTTTCAAATTGAGGAAACAGAACTAGATGCCTCCCAGTTCTATGATTCTGTCCTCTTCCCCCAAATCCTTCTACTTATTAACTATTCAATTTTTTGTTCTATGAAATGGAGAATAATACCAACATAACCACTTAAAAGGATTATTGTGAGGATAAAATGAGAGGTTATATTTAAAATTCTCTGAAATGTATTGTTTGCCAAAAATGTAGGGTAGCGTTATTTCTGCCATTTCTTCCTTCTACTTCTTCAGTCCAGTTAATACAAGATCTTAGTGAAAGAAAAGAGAGAGAGAAGAGTGTGTAAGGTTTTGTAACACAGATATATCCTAAATGTTTCAGTTTGGATAAAACAGAATAAATTACTAAGCACTGACATTACTGGGTAGATATCACTGGACTAATTATCCAAGAGGATCCAGTGTAAATATGCTTTCTGAATCACCATATTTAACTGGTTAAAAATCCTTAGCAATTGTAATTTGTCTACAGCTTGCAGTAGTATTAGTCCAGAGACAAGGTCTTTTATACACACAAATTTGGAAGCAGATAGATTCTTCCCTCCCCTGCAGACAGATCGTGTTGGGGGTTGGGGAAGTGCAGAGAGGAGAGAATCAACTGAAGCAGGATCCCTATTGATTTATTTCCTTTTCTCCACTGTGAAGGTAGCATTGTCCTTCCCCCCACTGCTGTAGCCACTCAGTCGAAACTTGGAACAGCTGAAAATATAGAAGAAATGGCTCTTCTTACTTTTTGTTTGTTTCCTGCCCACCTGACATAACTTCTGGTCCATTTATCCATTTGTACAAGGAAGGATGTTCATCTTTCTCTATCATCCATTCTTCCATTTTCCTATACAGTGTTTTATTACTTTGGTAATACTCTCTCCTCTTTAAAAAACCAGTTTTATGAGATGCAGCAAACTAGAAAGCAAAGTCAGGCAGGACAACTCAACCTTAGTGTTCTTGTCTATAAAGTGAAGGAGTTGAGCTATATCATCCTTAAGATTTCTTCCCTGTCCTAAAAGTCTCTTTGATGATTCTGTGAAATAAACATCACCTAAACCTCAGTGTTTTATGATGGACCAGAAAATTCTCACCATTAGAGCAAAAAAGATGCAATACACAATTTTCAGATGGAGAAAGTTTTCCTTAAAAAAAAGATTGTATATTCTGAGAAACGCAGTTTGCCATAAAAAGATAAATTTGAGTCCCTGAAATGACACACATGACAAGGTATAAGACACAAAAAACAAAAGAATAAAAAAAAAAAAGACACGGGTTCGTGCCCCGGTCCGGGAGGATCCCACATGCCACAGAGTGGCTGGGCCCGTGAGCCATGGCCAGTGAGCCTGCGCGTCCGCATCCTGTGCTCCACAACGGGGAAGGCCACAACAGTGAGAGGCCCGCGTACCGCAAAAAAAAAAAAAAAAAAAAAAAAAAAAGACTAGAAGTGCTTCTACTGTCATTTTTCCATGTGTGTTGTTGTGAACCGACAATCAACCATAACAAGAGGTTTAGTATTTCGGCATTTATCACGAGAGATTTTACATCTTCCCCTGTTGTTTCAACTACATAGCATAATGTAAATCAGCAAGGAGGAAGGGTAATAATCCATACATTATTTCTATTAATCTCCTTCTTGAAATACCTCATTGTCTCCTTTAATGAGAAATCCCTGCATGGTGTTGGTGGGATTACCTCTTTCTTGTGTTTTGTGCTTTTAATGAATCTTACTGATTGTCAAAAATGATATTACAGTGGTAGTTTTATCATTTTACTTTATGGGAGTTTATAGAATCCTGGGCTAGTTAATTTTAAAAGAATTCTTCATTAAATATCACCCTCACTCAGCATATGAAATGACAACAGTTTGGGGGAAAGTGTTATTTTTTCAACTAAGGAAAAAAGCTATAAGTGCTGATATTTCTAC